GCACCAGAATATAGCTGTAGGCACGTGAAACCATCTCGAGGCCATCACAATGGAGTAGGGAGACAGGAAATCAATAGAAAGTGGTGCTAAGTGTTGAGAGAGTGAAGCCAGGGACACAGTGTGCAGAGGAAGGAAGTGCTTTGTCACAGGGTGATCAGAGCAGTCCCTACAATGAGGTGCCATTTGTGGAAGAAAGGCCAAGACAGGGGTGGAGCACACAGGAGGGTAGCATAGCATAGTGTAGCCCAGCCCAGCCCAGCCCAGGCTCGCCTCACAAGCCAAGAAGACTTCTCACAGAAGCAGGTCACCCAGGACTCTTTAAGGAGACTGGCTGACCTTATTTATGAGCACTCGGGAAAAGTTCTTCCCTATAACATCCAGCATCTCCATATGTAAAACCCAGCTCCGCCAGGTGGCCACTCGTGCATGGGTGGAGGAGAGAAGATAGGCTCTGGTCTAGACGTGTGCAGGACACACACAATATGCCACCACCGTGATACCAACACTGTGAGCAAAAGTAGGCTGTCTGTGCTTAGGAACAGGCAGGAATGCATCACCCGTGGAAGACACAGTTAAACTGAAACAGCACCAGTTTTCTATGATGGTCACAATGGCGGCGACTATGGAGGTTTCTGGTGCTCTAAGATGGTCTCTGTGATGGTCACTACGGTAGTCTCTATGATCTCTGTGCTGGTCTCTATGGTGGTCACTGGTGATCACTGTGGTGAGCTCTACTGTGGTCACTGGTTGCCACTTTGTGGGTCTATATGATGGTTTTTTTCCCTTTTTTTTTCCAGTCCTGGGGCTTGAACTCAGGGCCTAGGCACTGTCCCTGAGCTTCTTTTGCTCAAGGCTAGCACTCTACCTCTTGAGCCATAGCACCACTTCTGGCTTATCCTGTTTATGTAGTATTGAGGAATCAAGCCTAGAGCTTCATGCATGCCAGGCAAGCACTGTACCACTAAACCACATTCCCAGCCCCTAGATGTTGTTTTCTATAGTGGTTTAAAAGGTTGTCTGTATGGTGGTCAATATGAATTTTAAAGTAGTAAATATTCTAACAAGCAATTACTAGCACGTTAGCAACAAACGGGTAAACAGGAATTCTCAGCCATGACATAGAAGACAGAATAAGTTGTCAAAGGAAATGTGAAGACTGAAAAATATAACTGAGATGAAAACAAAACAAAATGCAACATTAGCTAGAAAACAGACTGCGGGTAGTGAAAGAGAGTATTAAGGAACTTGATGACAGATTAATAGAAATCTAGACTTAATACATAAAAAGCAAAATGACTAATAAAATCATGAACAAAAAAGCCTCATCCATTTGTGGTACAGTAACAGAAGATCCAATGTCTGGAACTGGAGTCATGGTTCAAGTGGTAGAGGACTAGCCATGGGTAAACAAGCCAAGCAATAGTTCAAGCCCAAGTTTGAACACACACACACACACACACACACACACACACACACACACACACACACACACACACAGAGGCAAAACCCATTTGATGCTGTTGTCTCAGAAATCTATCAGAAAGATGAAAGACAACTGTATTCACAAAACATTCGCTAAGCGCAGTCACTTGAGCCTGTAATTTTTAGCTACTTGGGAGGCAGAGATCTGAAAATAACTGTTCAAGGCCAGTCCAGGCAAGAAAAAAAGTTTGACTAGTTGTGGTAACATGTTCCTATTATTCTAGCTATGGGGAAGCACAGTATCTTGGCACCTTGGCACATGCCTGTCATCCCAGGTAGGAGGATCATAGCCCAGTCCAGTCTGAGCACAAAGCACAACCTTCCCTTGAAAATAACCAAAGTCAAAAGGGACTCAAGGGGTAGAACTGCCTTGCAGTGTGAGGCCCTGAGTCCAACCACCACAATTGGAAAGGAAGATGAAGAGAGAAGAGGAGAGGAAGCAGGGAAGAACAAGGGAGGAAAGGAGGAGGAGGAAGAAGAGAAGAAGAGGAGGAGGAGGAAGAGGAGGAGGAGTGGGAAGAGGAGAAGCGGGAGGAGAAGAAGTGGGAGGAGGAGGAGCAGCAGCAGCAGGGGGGGGAGGAAGAAAGGAAGGGAAGGAGGAAAGATGGGGAGGGAAGAAAGAGAGAGGGGAGGGAAGAGGAAAGGAGGGTGGTAAGAGAGCAAGAGGGAGGGAAGGAGGACAGCTAAAAATGTATTAAGTATGAAAAAACACCAAATGTTCTCTGCATAGATCAGAGAATCCTAAACAGGTTAAACTCATAGAACTCTACACCTAGCCACCCAACACCATGATCTATATGCTGAAAACAAGGGGAGAAAAAAAATCTCCAAAGCAGCTATAGAAAAAAATGGTACATAATGTACACAGAGAGAATGGAAAGACGGCCAGTTTGCTCTGGGAAGGAGAGAAGTCAGAGGAAGTGGCACACTGAAAGTGCTTGGAGCAAAGAGTCGTCAGCCCAGAATTCTCCACACCACAAAAACACCTTGTAGGAATAACAGTGAAATGAAGACAGTCCTAGATAAATGAAAACCAAGAGAAGACATAGCCAGCAGAGCCCACCTTTAAAAGAAGAAAGTTGTTCCTCCAGGAAAATGAGGCCAGAGGAGGCTCAGAACACCAGGATGGGAGGCGAGCAACCAAAATGTCACCGTCTGGAGGAATAATAGTGTCTGTCCTTCTAGATTTGAACATTCAAGGCAAAATTTAAACACTATCTCTCTTTATTGGGGGAAGGGGAGTTAATGAATATAAATGGGCTCTGAGAATAACATAGAGACCCACAGAGCAAGGTGTCTCCACTCCACTTGAAGTGGTGCTGTATTGATCCAGAGCTGTCTGTGAAAGATCGACTTGGTGGTTCAGGAGTTTCCAGCCCCATCCATCATGAGAAAGCGCCGTCATTAATTTTTCACCTATGGGTTTTCACAACCACTATGATCATTACCTAGATCCATTCTTCATTAGGGCTTACGAAATGGACTCTAATTCTATTATTCTTACATTGGCTGATAGTCTTTAAAAAGGAAAAAAAAACAACTTTAAGTCAGGTATCTGATTCTTCTAAAGTACAAGACACATAAGAAAGAAGGGCTAAATGTTGTGTACTTGTTATATTAAGAGTCTTCAAACTACTGAGTTAAAACACTATTTGTTTTTATTATTTATTTATTTATTCATCAGTCATGAGGCTTGAACTCAGGGCTTGGGCGCTTTCCTTGAGCAATCTGGCTCAAGGCTAGTGTTCTATCACTTTCAGTCACAGCTCCACTTTTGGTTTTCTGGTGGTTAACTAGAGATAAAAATCTCTTAAGACATTCCAACCCAGGCAGGCTTTGAACTGTGATTCTCAGAGCTCAGCCTCCTGTGTAGTTAGGATTACAGGCGTGAGCCACCGGCATCCAGCTTAGGACATTATTTTTAAATAGATGTGAGAGAGAAACACTGGCTTAATTCTCACTGGCACAATCTGGGATGCAAATAATTTATTCTCTTAGACAATTTAATCCAACCGTGTAAATCTTACAAAGTCTTTAATTATGGTAAGGAGCAAAAGGATGACATGATCCATTTGAATGTGTGTATTATAATGTGTCACACTTGCTTTTTTTTCATGCTTGCTTTTTGTTGGGACTAGATTGCACACATGCATGCATGTGTGGTGTGGTGTGTGTGTGTGTGTGTGTGTGTGTGTGTGTGTGTGTGTGTGTGTGTGTTTACAGTCACAAATGTATTCCGGTGTAAGGTCTTAATTAAAGCTCTGAACCTATCAAAATCCCAAAAATGTAAACATATGAAACAAATATGTACATTCACTCACAGGCAATGATAATTAGAAAGCCTCAATCACTCTAACATTTAGGAGGACCTAGATGAGAACTAAGGGTACAGACTGACCAGTAGGAACAGTTAGGATGCAAGTTGCTAGAAAGCTGGAACCATATTAAAGTTGGGGAAGAGATACCTGAAGGTCCTTGAGGCTTCGTGTGAGAACTCACGGTGAACACAGGGGTATCAGAAAGGAAGGAACTGTATGTATCCAGCCCAAGGAGGAGTTAAGCTAACAATAGGGCAAGGTAGAGTAGATTTAATGTAAGTAGATTCAATGTCTGTGTTTATTGTTACTATGAAACATTATATGGCAGGCAAAAGGAATCAAGAGGTCACAGCCAAGGAGAAATCTTTATACTACTTTGGAATTTTTTTGTAAGAATATATTCTTTATATATATCTAACTCATAGAATTTTTTTCAGAGCATTTAAAATAACGAAGAAGCAGGATACTAGTTACTCAGACCTATAATTCTAGCTACTGAGGAGGCTGAGTTCTGAGGATTTCAATTTGAATCCAGACCAGGCAGAACAATCCATGAGACTCTTATCTACAATTGAAGCCAGAAGTAGAGCTATGGTTCAAGTGGTAGAGTGAAAATGCTCAGGGATAGCGTGAAAGCCCTGAGAGAAAGGAAGGAAGAAAAGTAAGGGAGGGAGGGAAGGAGGGAGGGAGGGAGGGAGGGAGGGAGGGAGGGAAGGAAGAGGAGGAAGGAGGAGGGGGAAGGAGAGGGAGGGAGGGAAGGAAGAGGAGGAAGGAGGAGGGGGAAGGAGGAGGGGGAGGAGGGGGAGGGAGGAGGAAGACAGAAGAGGAGGTAGCAGGGGAGGGAGGAGGAGGGGGAAGCAATCCCATAAACATGCAGTGTTTGGCCACAATCAGATGACCCTGGGAGCAGCTTTGTTTCTGATGGGCAGTGCATGCCCATGTCTTCACTCCAGGCTCCCCGCTGCTGAGTGAGGACTCTAACCTGCTTTCGCAGAGCTCCTGCCAGAACTCATTGGGCCCTGCACACTTCATAAAGCCCCATAAACTATAGCTGGACATTACAGATTTACACCTCGGGGAAGTAGAGAGCAGAAGGTGGGTGACAGCCGAGAACTCCTGAGCCTCTGGCTGTGAGGAGCACGGTCAGGAGAGTGGCCAGCAGGGACAAGTGGGGCTGGCTGGAGAGGCCCCGGCACTCACTGCAGTTCTCTTCATCGCTGCCGTCAGGACAGTCCTCGAACCCATTACACCGGAAGCGGCCGATGATACAGTGGATACCGCTGGCACAGGGGAAGAAGGTCGGGCCGCATTTTGATTTAGCTTTGGCTGCAGGAAGAGAAGAAGACAAACAGTAAGACGAGAGGAGACAGAACTCTCTGACCATGACCACCTATCCGGCTCCCTGAATGTGTAAATGTTTCCTGTTAGGTTTGCCTCAAAGACCCACAGAGGAGGCTCACCACCAACAGCCAGCCTGAACCCCTAAGTAGCATCCTCCTGGAAGAGAATGGCCATGCTGCTGCTTCCAACACCCACAGGAAGTCAACCACAGCCAAGCAAGTGTCCAATCAACAGTATGAAGAGGCAGATGGGACAGTGATGGACAGTGGGTAGAGCCTGCCTCTCTAGGTGCTGAAGGACCAATCAAAACACATTTCCTGGGTGTCAAAGCAATGGCAGTTGACATGCAGCAAGCGCTCACCATACCAGGTGGTGTGCCAAGTGTTTTGCATGGATTATCTCATTTAATCTACCCAGCAGCCACCCAATGGGGAAGTGCACAGAAAAGCTCAATGTGATACTTCCCAGATTGCCAGCCTTACCAAGTCCTGCTTGGAATGGTCTGTTCTTGCTTGGCTAGAGTAGAGAACATGCATTTCAGGAGGGTCCCTACTACCTTAATTGGTAAAGGTAGCCTCAACTGTTGATGCAAGCAGTGCGTATACTGAACACAGGACTTTCTTTTGGGAGCGAGGAGTTGTGGGGGTGGGGGGCTTCTAGGCAGAGGGTACCATGTAACCAGCCTTGGATTAAAAACTCAGAGAACCAAATCTCCAGTGAGCTTCCCTATTGGACGTTCCTTCACACTGGCAGTACAAGCAGATGCAGGGGAATGAATGTGTCCTGTATGCTGCAGGTAGGAGAAGACCTGTTCTCAGCGTTCACCTCAAACCTTATGGGTTCTGCTTCGTAGCTTTCACCACAGTCAGTCAGGGTCCTGAGGCCAAGCAATGCGTTGAATACCAAGACTTCCTAGAAAATGCTAAGCCTGGCAGATCCTGAGGACCCTGGTGCAGTTGGACATGGTTCCTGACTGCCCCTCCCCCCCCCACACACACACACTCTGAGCTAGATGTATGAATGTAGACAGGGACAATGCTCAGACCCTAAGTTCAGGCTTCAGAACAAGCATTTAAAAAAAAAAAAAAAAGGCTGAGGAAAAGCCTAGTGACCGTGCATAGAGAGAGAGGTTTCCACTCACCCCTCTGGGAGGAGATGTCTTTACTGGGAGACTTTGCCTTCCTACACCAAAGCCACCACTGAGTGACACTGAGGAAACCTCATTGCAAATTGCTGATGTCCTCTGGAATCTGCTGTTTTGGGAGGTTTGGAGCATCAACCTTTGGAAAGTGGCAGATTCAAATAGCCTGGACTAGAGTCACCCCCAGTCTGCTTTTGGCAATGCCATTTAACAATGCAAATCCAGCTAGGTGCTGATGGCAGGGCTCATGCCTGTAATCTTAGCTACCTAGGAGGCTGAGATCTGAGGAGAAGAATCAGCAAAATGCTGGAAGTCGGTGTGATTCAAGTGGTAGAGCACCAACTCTGATGCGGAAAAAAAAGCCCAGGCAAAAAAATGCAAGGTGAGGTCAAGGCTTGATGCTAGCACAGAAAATAAAAATGTCCATTCTCAGCCACGGACTTTTCCCATGAACTGGGGATGGCAGAGGGCACCTGGGTTCTGCTCAGGACCCTCTGAACTCTATGGCAGGGCACGTGGGGCAGTGAACAGCTACTGACCTGCCCACCCAGCTTCTGGCTTCCAGGCTTCCCTCCGTGTGCCTCCTGTGATCAGCTGCTACCATCTTAGCAAATGTGTGATGGTGCAAATGTAAATCATAGCAGGGCCAGCTTCCTGTGACATAAACAATGACTGAGCGCCGCCTGCCAGGCAGGACATACTATTAGTCATTCCCACAGAGGAGGCACAAGCTGGTTAATTGAATGGAAGCTCATTAATTTACAATCATGCATAGTCTCCTTCTTTTTTTTTTCTTTCCTTGATTCAATTCCCGAGAGACCCCAAGAAAAGGGGCCAGGCATTCACACACAGTGAGATTAAAGGACGATATTCTTAGGGGAGGAAGACAAAAACACGAGACCTACATGCATCTGATCATATAAAATATTTATCAAAATGAACTCCAGGAAATGGAAACACGCCCCCCCACCCCCCACCTCCCACCCCCCACCCCGCTTTGTTGCTGTTTTTGTTTTCTTTTCCTTTTGTCTTGTTTATTCACTGATCTGTCTTAGGGAGGGCAAGGGGGTGGGGTACAGAAATGGAGGGACAAAGAGTGAACAAATGCAGTAGAGGCACTCACTGGATACTATGTTGAAAGTGAACCATACAACCTGTGGGTCCGGACACACAAGGGGAAAACTGGGACAGATCAAGAGAAGGGATGACATTGTTCAGAAAGAAATGTACTCTTTGCCTGTCTTATATAACTGTAAACCCTCAGTACATCACCTGTACAACAAGAGAAAATGCTTAAAAGTAACAATAATAAATAAAAATATTTTTATAAAAAGGAAGGGAGGGAGGGAGGAAGGAGGGAAGGAAGGAAGGAAGGAAGGAAGGAAGGAAGGAAGGAAGGAAGGAAGGAAGGAAGGAAGGAAAAGGGACCGTGACACTGAAAGCCTATCTTCTATGAGGCAAGAACTTTCCAGGCTGGCTCTTCCGCAGACATCATGCCTGTGGCTCCCAGACTCTCTGGGAAGGGCTCAGGGCAGCTTCCCTGTCCTGAGGATGTGAGCCCTTGGATTATGGCAGTTTTCCCCTCTCCACTTCCAGCCTCACGCTATAGAGCTGGACAAGGCTGTTCCATGGGTCTGCAATGTTCAGATAACACAGACCTGTGTGGTATCTCTGGGGCGACCGCTCCATCCTGCTGGCTACTGCACATCCTGGAGATGTGGCTCTGCAGGGCCTCCCTCCTATTGAGGTTGGCCTCACCTATCCTGCCTGTGTGGGCCTAAGACAGTCCAAACAACTAGCCACAGGAGCTCTGAGCTCTTCTGCAAAATGACCACACTTGTCTTTATAAACATAAGACTTGGCTCATTGTAAAAGATTTGAAGGACCCATAAAATACAGGGACCTGAACCTTGCTTTTACTACTTAACACGGTGACACCTTCCCATGCCAATAACAACTGGTCCTGGCCATCGTGTTTAATGATGGCTGAGGGCTGTCATTACTGTATCTGTGAACCCATAAAGACATAAGGTCCATCACTGATGGATAGTTGGAGTGCTTTCAATAAACAATGTACCCCCTGGTATGTACACTGCTTTTCCTGCTGGTACAGTATCTTGTTGAGACACAGTTGCTAGGTCTAACAACAGGCACAGTTTGCATTTTGCTGCCCTTTGAGGTCATCGACGGTGACTTTCCCAAAGAACTGCATTTTGACCACTGATGCTACGAGAAAACAACTCCCACCCTGGATGGTGTAAGGTGGGCTAAATTATCCCCTGGTAACACACAGCCCAAAGTCCCTCCTCACCTCTTTAAGCTGGTGCTTTACTGCTGCTCTGCTCTGCTCCTCTCGATCTGTCTCTGTCTCCTTTTGCATTCACACCTGTTTACTTATTGCTCTGCAGAGTGGGGAATTCCTGTCTGGCCAAGGGAACTATGACTCTTCCTTTTATCTTTCTAAATGTGCACCTGGTACAGGGCATCCATCTTGGCCAGGATTGGTGTCCCTGGGCTACACGAGTCACAGCCTGAGGCAGAGTGCCTCTTTCTCTGGAAGATGCTGCTCTAGTTCACTTTCTTGGGCTGCACACTGTCCTTGGTCTAGGGTGTGACAGACAGAGGCAGCTTCTCCTTTCGAGGACTGTCCTACTTGCCACTGTTTCTCCAGAATGTTCTGTCCTCTCAGGAAGTTCTCCAAGGGGCAAGTCAGTGTTGCACCTTTAGCAGAATCCTTGGTGTACTTTTAAAAGTGAAGTTCCCAGGCCTTTTGCCTAGGAGGAGTTTTCGTTTTTACTAAGCAAAAAAAAGGAAGGGTGAACATTCTTGTTTCAGTCTGCCTGTGGCTTGGGTGTTTCTCCTGGGGGTTCCTATGCTGAAAAAGCTTGGCCCATTGGGAGACGGTGCCCAAAGATGGATCCCTTGGGACTTGATTAGGCTTAAATCAGGTTATGAGAGTGAGGCTCCTGTGGCTGAATCCTGGTGGCTGTAAGGATAGGGAGAGAGAGGCCAGAAGAGACACTCACATGTGCCTGTCTCTTGCCTTGTGATACTGTGTGCCATTTTAGGATTCTGTTGACAAAAAGATGCTGCCAGGTCGCTACCAGACATATCCACAACCGTGAACCCAGATCAACCTCTTTTCTTTGCAAAGTGACCCAGTTTCAGCTATTGCATTATAGTAATACAAACCAGACAAAGAAATCCTACTGCGACTGATTCTATTTATGTCTTACATCCGCTGTCCGTCTGACTTCCTGGTGTTTGTCACAACACAGACCAGAGGCCAGTCCAGGTATCAAAGCTGGCTCTGACACTGTTCCATGAAGGCAAGTCTAACAATGGCCTCTTAGAGTGAAAAATAACCACGTGGAGAACATCCCCAAGCAAACTACAGACAGGTGCTCTCTTCTCCCATATGTATGCACAAGAATCACAAGGATTCAGCTTTAACCACGGAAGCTGTAGACCCATAGACAAATGGTGGTTGTCCTAGCAAAAGGTCCTTTGAAATGTTAGCAGTTCTTATACTCTGTCTCCTTCCTAAGAATTTATACTCTACCTATACAGACTATTTTCAAAAAACAAAAACAAAACTCTGCCCATCTTGGCAGATCACAAAATGTTCCTGAATTCTTTGCGGGGGCATTAAGTCTTGTGAAGCCTCTGTGTGTAATGCACAGAGTGCCCTGGAGGGGGAGCTAGGAGACACCTAATCTCAACCAGATGGAGGCTGATGTCAGGAAAGGCTTTTCCCAGTGAAAGATGGCCTCAGCTGTGGTACCCCACCGTTAGCCAATGCAGAAACCATGTAACGTTTCCTTACTCATCCAGTTATGCATTC